CAAGTTTTATCAGGAAAAGAGAACTTATGAGCTGATCTTAAATGGGGCAAACTTATTATAAAAATTAATTTGACTTAAATTATGCAGAGGGTAGAATGAATGGACACTGTGGTGAACTGCTCAGATCTCTCCTTCATGATCTAGTTACTCATTTCCCCAGCTTCCAGGAGTATCGGCCGCTGTTGGCTCAGAGTTGAGTACCTCTCTAGTGATTGTCTTAACCCAATGGGACCTGCCTTACAAATGGTCATGCCCTCTCCTTGGGATCAGCCCTGCATCCAATGACTGGTCAATATGGGGTTTTAGGGACTCAGCCCTTTTTCCCAGGCACATATGAAGGGTCAACTCAGCTCTAGGACTCCCTGTGTGATCTCCTCAGTCCCCTGCTGCCATTGTAACAGTTCAGTTTCCCCTTCTTCCCTATGCTCCTCTCTTCACTTTCTTATAAATCTTGTTCCTAAGAACACTCTTCATGAAAACTCCTACATGTAAATTTTTGTCTCAGAGTCTCTTCCCCGTGTACCCAAACTAAGACAATAATGGATTGGAGAAGGTGCTCTTAGGAAGCTACTCTAGCAGCCCAGAAGTAGCCTTCTGATTTATCTTATAAGTCTCCACTTCACTTTCTAACTTCCAAATATGGTTTTCAGTGTAACTTTTTCTGAAAGATTGCATAAAATATTTGAGTGTAATGTCAGGATGTAGAGAAAATATTAAAATAAATTTATTTTGTATAGAAATTAGGCTTAATAAATTAGGGATTATTAATGGGAAGGTTAGGAAGATAGATGCTTACTAAGCAAGACCACCCTTCATCTAGAACAGGCCCTGGTGCATAGTGGACACTCTATAAATGTTAGTTGAATCCGTGGATAAATGAAGTTTTTAGTAATATATTCTAATTTTCATACTTCTGCTAACGTCCAAGTTAGGTGTGGTATTTAGAACAAAGATGACTGCTGTAGTTTGGACGTGGTTTGTTTTCTCCTCTAAATATCATGTTGAAATTTACTTCTCAGTGTGGTAATGTTGGGACGTGGGGCCTGGTAGGAGGTGTTTGTGTGATGGGGGTGGATCCTTCATGAATAGCTTGGTGCTGGCTTTGTGGTAATGAGACAATTTTTGTTTTACTAGTTCCTGCAAGAGCTGGTTGTTAAAAAGAGCCTGGCACCTCACTCTCCCTCTTTTCCTTCTTTCATCATATGATCTCAGCACATACCAACTTCCCTTCCCCTTCTACCATACATGGAAGCAGCTTGAGGCCCTCACCAGATGCAGATGCTAGCACCATGCTTTGTACAGCCTGCACACAATTGTGAGCCAAATAAACCTCCTTTCTTTATAAATTACCCAGCCTCAGGTATTCCTTTATAGCAATATAAATGGACTAAGGCAATGTAACTCTCAGAAAATTCAGCCTTCTTTAGTTGTATGACTGGATAAGATATTTAATTTCCATGAAACTTTTTTTCTTCATCAGTATGCTAAGGATAATGCAACTGCATTAATTTTTAATTGCTGCTATAACAAATTACCACAAGTGTAGTGACTTTCACAGTATACATTTTTAACAGTATACATAATTTTATTCTGTAGGTGTGGTACACAGAATAACAGCCCTCTAAATATGTCTACATCCTTATCACCAGAACCTGTGACTGTTTTGTCTTATATGATAAAAGGGACTTTCCAAATGTGATAAAGTTAAGGATTCTGAGATGGGGAGATTATTCTGGATTATATGTGGGCCCAATGTAATCACAAGGGGCTTTATGAAAGGGAAGCTAGAGGGTCAGAGTCAAAGAAGAAGAAGATGGAAGCAGAGGTTGGAGGGGTGCAATTGCTGGCCAGTGCTGACATCTTGAGTTAAGCCTGGTAAAATCAATTTCAGAATTCTGACATCCAGAATTGTAGAATAATAAATTTGTGTTGTTTTAAAGCTATAAACTTTGTGGTAATGTGTTATAAGAGGGATAGGAAATGAATACAACAGGTTAAATCTGACATGGGTCTCCTGTGAAAATCAAGGTGTCAACCGTGCTGCATTTCTTTCTGGAGGCTCTAGGAATAATCTGTTTCCTTGCCCTTTCTGCTTCTAAATACCATTTGGATCTTTACATCCTGGATGTATCCCTTCCTCTTCAAATTCAGCACCACTGTACCTTTCCTTAACTGACTACAATCAGGAAAGTTTCTCGACTTTTAAGGATTCGTGTGAATAGATTAGACCTGACTCCCCATCTCAAGATCCTGAACTTAATCACATCTTCAAAATGAATATTTTGAATATGTAAAGTAACATATTCACAAGTTCAGGAGATTAGGATGTGGACATCTTTTGGTGCTGGGGGGTTTGCATTATTTTGCCTGCCACACCTACCTACGTTGCAAAGGATTAAATGAGATGACATTGATAAAACATAAACACAGCGTAATGCAGTAAACATTAACAGATTCTTCCTCTCTGGAGATCAATTTCATATTTTAATTCCTCTTGGTCTGTTTTGACATATTATAATTGTTATACTATCCAAATTAAATATTATAGTGATTTGGTAGATGTTACTTTAGTTTCATTTATCGAAGCTGTTAAATATCTTTCCTAACTTCCCTAGCCATCTGAACCTAACTTAAAATTATTGGAGAAGTATGAGAATTATTGGGTCAAAATGATCTTAAATCCCAAAATTTATTTTTTATATGAGAACTAAACCTTAGCCGCTCAACAGATATTTACATAGTGGCTAGTATCAGCCAGGCTCTCCTCAAGCACTGGGGGTCCAGTAACGAATAAACGATTCTAGACCTCATGTAGATTTCAACTGAACTTGAAAGTAAATTGTCATTTTTCTCACTCCATGGTGAGTGAAATAAGCCAAGCACAGAAAGACAAATCTCACATGTTCTCACTTATATGTGGGAGCTAAATTTTAAATCAATTGATCTCATGGAGACAGAGAATATGTTGATGGTCACTTCTATTTCTTATGTATATGATGGAATCATCAACATAAGAGAATACTATCGCTTAGGGACTACCTTTTTCTTTCAGTATTGTTTTACTTCCTGCTTTCCTATACTGTGGCTTATATTAAGTATACTTTTATTCAAATTCTAGATCTATGGGTTCTCACAAAGTTCATGTTTGTACTAAATCATAAATTGGAAATGTCATTAAACATATATTCAATTAGAGAAATAATTAAATTGTTAACCATGAATTTTGGCAGTTTACCAATTTTGCTTTAGCTATTTTGAGGTCACATTTGTGATTATGAAGCCTTACATATGGCTATAGTCAGCAAAAACAACTGATTTAATCAATTGTGATTATATATAAAAAGATTCATGACCAAAACCTTTTACATGTATAACTGAATGAAAAAGAGTGTATTTTTATTCACTGAAAACAAAGTTCTTTTTAGAAAAGAAACTTTCCTTATTTAGGAAAATAAATAAAGATATGTGACTTTAAGTCACTTGGAATAGGAAGGAAAAACACCAGGGAAAGGGGACTGAAGAAGATTTAATGAAAATGCTAGAACAAAATTACTTTTTTCTGTAGAAAAAAAGATAATAAGCCAGAATTTGGGGTCTTAAAAGTAGCAATGAGAAGAGTAAGAGAGAGATGGAATCAAACAACACAGAGAAAAGGAAGAGCTTAAACTGGCAGAATTGTCCAAAGAATTTAAAAAAACCCAAAATATCAAAGACAAAGTTGTTTTCTTTGTTATGATATTACTTCCTGCTCTCCACCTAAGCAAACTTTCTGTAAAGTGTGTCCTTTCAATACACATGGAATGGGGTTCTTTCTGGTTAAAATTAAAGAAAAAGGGTTGAGGTCCTCATCTGAGCTAGTACAGATCAGACAGGAAAGAAAAACTTCGTAACACAGAATCAAGACTTAAAATTCAGTAGAGGTGGGTCTAGAAAAGGAAAATTCCTGAACCTTCAAGGCAGTCTTATTCCTGAGAGGTAGAATGAACCAAGCTGACTCTGGGTTACACAAAATTTGATCTCGAGGTGCACAGCAATCATTTTTGTATTACAAGCTGTATGACTTTGATAAAATCACTATGCCACTTTTAGTCTCAGTTTGTTCACCTACAAAAAGTTGAATAAAAATAGGGCCTACATAAGTGGGTTGCTGTGGGAATTAAATATTATCATTGCCATTGTCGTTAAGTTGCCATTGTTACTGATAGCCGCCTTCTTTTTCTTTCTTTCATCCCTAGAGGGCAGTGATTATTATAATAGTCCTGTTAAAAGTAATGAAGATTCATGGGTATGAGGACAAAGAAGAATTGAGGTGGATATAAATAGAATTAATCTTTTTTTCCCCTATTCATCCAAAATTCTCCCAAAGTAATCTACATTCACTGTCTCTTCTTCCTTGTTCCTATTCACTCCTCAACCCACTTGTCTTTCTACTACCAATTACTATTCCTAAAATGCTGCTCACATGAAGGATATAAATGTGCCAATTGCCAAAATTAATTGATGCTGCCCCTCCTTATTTTCATTGTACCTTTTCTGCATTGACACTATTGATCACATGCTCCTTCTTGAAATATTCTACACTCTTCTGTATTCACCTCTCCTGGTTCTCCTCATGCATATCTATTTCTTTTTGGTTCCCTTCACGAATATCTTTTCTTCCATACACCATCCCCACCACCACTATTAGCATGTCTGCCACCAAATATTGTTATCTCTTCTACCCCACCCCCATCCCTACCTGGGCTGAGAGCAGAGAGCACAGCATCCTGTACAGGTAGTTGGGTCGGTTCCCCACAACGACAGCTACGGGCACGTTGAGGACCTTGTTGTCTGGGAGTGGGTTAGGGCTGAACTCAATGGGTGTGGGGTCCTTGCGGCTACACTCACTCCTATAGCCCTCAATTTTGCTGCAGAAGTGCCTGCGACGATGGCTCGGCTCCATGCCTGCCCAGTGGCAGGCACTCTGCCTCTTCATCTGAGTTTAGCAGCATATCTGTCTTCCGCAGGACGGGATACCCGCAGGAAAAGTGGGCAGGTGACTTCGAACGTTTCTCCCTGTGGATAGGACATCCTTTTTATCCCACGAAGGCCCAGGAGTCCCTCCAGCCCAGGGAAGGGCCAGTCTGGCTGCCCAGGCTCCTCAGCAGAGGCTTGGTTGTGTCTTTAAGGTGGAAGGATCCCTCACTTTAACCGCGCAGATGAGCACTCCGCCGGGCGGACGGATCATGGTGAGAAATAGTACCACGGCCTCATCCTCCTGAGGTAATCCCGTGTCAAACACACTCTTCATCATCACATGGCCTGTGGCCTCGTTGAGGATGATGACATAACTGCTCCGACCCTGCTCCCAGGCCTCGTCCTCCAGCACCGTGGTGCCATCTACTGCCACGCATTCTCTGCTGCAGCTCGAGTACGCCTCCTTGTCGTGGACCTGACGAGGACTGCTGCCTCTGTGCGGTGGGGGCTCCAGGTGGCCTAGAGCCTCGTCACAGTCTTGCTCTGACTCTGGGTCTTCATTGGCTTCACTGATTGCTCGGCGAGTGTCCAGGATCAACTTAATGTTGACAATGGCAGTCACCAGCAGGAAAAGCACGGCCCCTGCCTGACAGAATCTCCTCAGGGCCCGCTGGTTCGTCAGTTTATGCTTCCAGGTAAGATACCAGCTCCGCTTCTTCCGAGCCCCAAAGGGCTTGATGAGGGGGCTGGGCTTGCAGCTGTCCATGCCGGACGCGGGGTCGCCAATGTCCCGGGCAGCGCATGGCTTCAGGAATGGCTCAGGGCCCCGAGCCACTCAGCCCGGGGCACCAGGCACCGCAGGCTCATCCTCTTCCTTGCCGCTCGCGGCCCCGCCCCCTCTCTGAGAATTTTTTGAAAATTTACTTATCAAGTGCCTTCAGAAATGCCGCGGAATCCTGGGCATGGTGAGAATTTCCTTTTAGAAATATTTAAATCGTTTCAATTCTAATGACCTCAAACCATGGCCCTATAATACGACATAAAACCTCGGCGGCAGCCATTAGGCTGTGTCAGGTCTTCACACGTGTGCACGAAGCTCTTTCCCTCCTAAGGGCCTTCGCATGTGGCTTCGCCGTCTGGGTAGCTCCTACTTCATCAGCCTGCGTCTTACATTTCACTACTTTAAAAATGTCTCTAAAACTTCTAATCTAAGTGAGGCTTCCACCTACCCCATTATATTCTCACCTGGTACCTTATTGATTTTCTTCTCAGCCATAGTTTACAATTTATAGACATATTTGATTATTTGTTTAATTAGTTTCTTCCTCACTATTAGTTCCATTGGATCAGAGCCTCTGTCTTTGTAATTCACTGATGTTCATTGCATTGATGACACAGTTTAACTAGTACTTTGTATTTTGCTGAATGCATAGCAGTTGCTCAAAATTTGTTGAATAAATAAAATCCCTGTGAGGTGGAGACTCAGAAGGAAGAAGCAATGGTAGCTAGAATAATAGAAATTTAAGGCAGGCTTCCAAGTCAAGTTTTGGCACAGGAAAAACTGAAGACCAGTTCTCAGAAATCGAATCCAAGAACAGGGCCAAACTAGGCCCTGTTTTAAGTTTGTCCTTCACAAGCAGGCCAGTCTCTAAGAGTGAGTGAGAAGGCAAAATGAATATTTGCTTTGAGATTATTCTGCCATGTGAGCTTGGTGAAAGAAATGCCCACATAAACTTGAGATTAGGTGATTATTCATGAAAGCTTTGGGTGCACACCTGACCAAAAGAACTCAATGGTCTGCTTAGAGAACAGCATACAGAATTAAGTGTTATAATGGCATTTTATACATTAGGCAGCCAGCGTCTGGTCATGCAGAGTGTTTCAAAGAAATCATCCCAGCCCAAATTAATGAAGAAAGGACAGATTGTTTAATAAATCGTTTTCAAAAACTAGATCACTCTATGGAGAAAAATAAAATTGAATTTCCACCTAATACTACCAAGTTGGATTTCAGGTAGATTAATCCTGCAAAGTTAATAGACTATAATATAGGAGACTACTTTTGTCAGCTAAGGTTGAGGGAAAATGTCAAAAAACTTCAAAAGTACAAATCATGAGGCCAAAAAAGTAATTAATTTGATTATATCAAAATTGAAGATTTTTAAAAAAATTATGGGGATCATGAACAAAATTAACAGACAGATATAAGAATCTGTTATTTACAATACCTAAAACTAAAAAGAGACACATATCAACAAGACATAAGGAACTTTACAAATAAATAAGAAAAATACGAAAAAGAAAAAAGAAACCCACAACGAAACATAGACAAGGTAGGGACAGACTGTTCACATAAAAAGTACCCAAACAGTTGTCAGCATATAAAGGGATATTCAATACCAAGTCTAGCTGGGATAAATTAAATATGGTAGCTATACTACAGAATATGATGCAACAGTTAGAAGCCACAGCCTGGCTGTATACAGCAACATGGATAGAATTTATGAAACAATGTTATGTGAAAAAAATAGTAATAATGTTAATGATAAAAGATGACATATATGTAGTATTTACTGTGTGCCAGTTACTGTTCTGAGCTCATAACAATGCTGCGACGTATTATAGCCACATTTTACAGATGGGGAAACTGAGATATATAAGGTCACATAACAGTGGATGTCCAGGATTTGAACTTGGGCAATCTGGTTGCAGAATTCTTGCTTTGAAGCAGTCACTGTATGCCTAAGAACTACAGTAAGAGCTGTAATGGAAAGAAAATTTTTAAAATTATGCACATCAAACTGTGATACACGTTTTTGTAGGCTACATTAATATTAAAGGTATCAAAGCATATTAAAATAGAAAAATGGAAATAATTAAATAAATACATCAAGAAAGGATTCTTCCACAATACAACAGTGAGTGTGCCAAAATGAAGGCACAGGATTAATTTATCTCTTTGGAAAAGTGAGAGTAAATAAATTTAACTTATAAAGATTTTATACTTAAACATGAGTTTTCAAGTATTAATATAATAAAAGGCCAAGAAGCAGTTCCAGCGCTAACTCCAGACACAGTAGCTGGTATGAGGCACAGATGCTCATGAATAAAAAAAGTGAGACACAAAAAGAAAAAATCTGAAAGTGGAAGAGGAATCATCAAGATGATAAAAGAATATTCTTTTAGCCACTTTGATGAGAAGGAATTGGACTTTTTGTTCCTCTTGTCCTGATATACAACACCGAGGAGTTGACAGTTGAGGACTTAAACATTTTACTTACCTTAGTCAGAAGTCAGCTTTCTGTTATTTGGCTAATGAGGAGCACCAAGAGCTGGATTTCTTATCTCTTCTGTACCTAACTTAAAACTTTTAACATAAGCTCTGTTCTTACTCAATGGCCATAAATTTAAATCAAAGAATTGTTTTCTGTTTGAATTCTTACAGTATGCCTGATAAAAACATGAGCTTTGATAGAAGCCACAAAATCACAATGATCAAAGAATGAGAAACATAAAACAAAACTCACAGAACAAAATAAAATAAATTTGGCGATATTTTTCATTCCACAACTTTATGTAATGCAACCGGAGATTAGGCAATGGGAACAATCTGTGTCAGAGTTGAAGCCAGTAAAATGCAAGGCAAATAGCAGGGCTGAAAAGAGAGCATGACCCGTTTCTTGTTTGGAGGCGCTCATGGTTGCTTGTGACTCTTAGAAGCAGAGGTAGGTTATTAGATTAAATTTAGAGAGTGGCAAGTAAGCTACCTTATAAGGAAAATAACTGTCCTCAGCATTTTTCATACTAGTCACCTGAATTACCTTTCGCTTTCTTCCAAAAGAACTGAGGGTCTCTTGGAACTGCTTTCTTCCACCTTAAGGTAAGTTAAAATTTTGGGTCTGGTAAAATTTTTTAAAAAATCTTCATACAGCAGGTGATAAGAGGGTAAAGGAATCTTAATTTTTCCTCCATTTTTTTTCAACTCTCTCTCTGTTATTTCTAATATGGGTGCTGGCTAATGATTGGTGGATGGGTCTGAGGAGGCAATGAGATCTATAGATCTACAGTGAAAATTAGTATAGGAAACACTTCTCACACACTCTGCATTCTCGGAATAATCATGCTATTGCCGTTTTAAATATACAACCTATGCTCTTCTGCTTTTGTGTCTCTGCTCATCATTTTCTCCTCCTGTAAGTCTCCCTATCTATCTCTACCTTATAAAATTTATCCTTTTCTTTGAAGCTGCCTCCAGACCCCACAACCTTGACTATAGTTTTCCAAATCTATTTAACCCAAATTAAGCCTTACCTCCTCTGAGTTTCTGTAGAGCTGTGTTTTAATTCTGTTCTGTCACCTGTCACTTCTTCCTAGGACTGTAGTAATCTGTGTATACATATTTTGCTCTTCTGTCTTGTTCATCTTTGCTTCCCTTGTAGTGAATGTTTGCACAGGGTAGGTTCTCAATGAGTGAATATTGAATTGACTTAGAGTGTTTCAAACATAGTGCATGTAGCTTTTTAGCAAGCTAAATCTAATGGTCCTATATAGGGTGAATTGGACACTGGGCGGTCACAGAATTAGAAAAAATGTTTACAAATACATTGTGATCTTAAGGCATGAAGCAATAAGGGTCCGGAAGTACAGTGGCTGTGTACAGGAGAGAAAATGGTGATTTGTAGGGAGCTACTGGAGGGAAAATGCCAGATTGTTACGGATGATGATGATGATGATGATAGCAGTGAAGATGATAGCTTATATTGTATAGTGGTGTACAGTTTATGTAGATCATTTCAGAGTTATGCATGGCAATCTGACTCCTGGGAATCAAGTGAAGTGATGTGATAAATAATTATGTGTTACAGTGATGTGTGGCATTTTTGTATTTTTCCGGGAAAGGCTTGTTAGCTTCAAAGTTGGAAAAGATATATAGTATAGAATGTGTTGACAACTTAGAATTCAGGTTAATCATGGCAATTTAAGAGTTGCTGCACTTCTGCTCATCAGGGGGTAGTCAGAAGATTTATCCAAGGAACAGTCTTAGAAATCCATTACAACCAGTCCCCAATAATGAATTTCAAATACCAGTGTTATTTTTAGCAAACATTTGTTTAACTCCCAGGGATTTTGTGGAAGCTGTATTATCCCTCCTGAGGAATGGAGACAGAGCAATAGTTCCTCCCACCTGGAGAGACATTGGCTTCCTGCTTGTTATATATTTGTGCAAAGGCTAAAGTGAATGTCTTTGCCTTCAGAGGGCAAAGGGCACAGGAAGTTTTTAAGAGAATGCTGTTGGGTCACTTACATTTGTATCATAGGAATGCAGGAGCTATAAAGAAAGCTGACTGCAGAAACCTTAGGAACCAGGGTACTCTTATTATTATAGAATTATATATTTTAGAGTGTGCTGACAAATGTCTCTCTATCCTTTTAATCAAATTGATTGGAATACACAGCACCACATGCTTAACTGGTGCCTGCTTAAGTGTTTTCTATCACCAGCTAAAAAATGAAGAGATTTAATGTGTGCACACATTTAATTGAACTAGTTATATTTTTTGTTTTTGTTTTTCCCTTCAGTTTTCTCTTGTGGAAAGGGCTTGAACTTTGTCCTATCGTGGGACAGAGAAGAATTATATTATTTTGAGATATACATTGGTGCTAGTTATCTTCTGGGTCCCACTTTCCTCTTTATGACCAGCAGCAAAAGGGAGTAAAAGAAATTGTTAGATTAAGTCTAGAGCTGGATCCTGGGAGGAGTAAAGCCTTCAAATCCTATTTCATAGTGGAAACGCAAGACAACCATTTGGTCTGGGCCTGAAAGGAGACTGCAAGGTTCCACTAAGTATGAGAAGGAGGTAGAGTGGCAGAACTCTCTAGGTAGAGGTAGTTCTTTTG